GAAGTTCACTTCCTTTCACACTTCCGGTTACCTGTGGTCAACCACAGCCCAAAAATATTAAATGGAAAATTCCAGAAGAAAACAACTCAATAAACAATTCCTAAGTCTTAAATCGTGGACTGTTCTTAGTATTGCAGTGAAATCTGGCACCGTCCTGCCCGGGACTCGAATCATCCCTGTGTCCAGCGTCTCTGCATTGTGGGTGCTCTCTGCGGGTTAGTCCCTTAGTGTCATCTCAGTTACCACTGCCGCCATGGAATCGCAGTGCTGTGTTCATAGAACCCCCATTTTACTTAGTAATGTCACATTCTCCTTGTATTACAGTATATTGTTATAGCTATTCTATTTCACTGTTGTTGTTGTTAATCCCTTACTGTGCCTAATGTCTAAATTAAACTTCATCACAGGTATGTATGTTTAGGAAAGAAACATAGGACATGCAGGGTTCAGTATTATCTGTGGTTCTAGGCATCTCCTGGGGATCTTGGCACATGTCCCCCTTGGACAAGGGGAACTGTTATAATTCCTCCTGATCCACAGGTTGAAGTATTGGCAGTACTCATTACTATTAGCAGCAAGTTTATGTGCTTAAATCTTGCCAGGTTCAGCACAAACACTGACAATGATAAGTTGAGCTGATGAAAACCAATCAATACCATTTCCCACACTTCACTTCGGTAATGTTTCGCAGGATTACAGGAGATTAACTACAGAAGAATATGTCAGCAGTAAAAATTAGTGTTATCTGTGGGCCATGTTTATTGGTTATTTAATTCTTATAAGTCAAATTAGTTTGACTTAATGTGATTTTAAATTATATTAAAACCACCCAACCCAAAGCAAAATATTCATTAAGATGTAAAGCTCCAATATTCATGAGAAATGAACTTGAACTTAGATTTATCCTTTGTCATAAGTTAACTGTATTACCTATAGTTATAAGTTTGTATAATTTAAAATAGGAGAAAGGACATTCTTCATCTTAGGTGACCAAGGCCTCTGACTTGAGAAGTGTTTAGCTCCAGCACACATTGTTTTAGAGAGAAGAGGCTGAAGGGGCCTGTGGAATATCTGGGCAAAACCAAAACAAAAAGCAAAAAGCCTACCACCACCATCAAACAGCAATGGCGCACACACCGACACATGGCACACACACACATACCACACACACAACCAACCTGGGAGACACAATTCTGGGAGTTCTGGTGGAGTCAGGGTTCACCTGTCCCACTGCAGCATTTCTCAGAGAGAGAGTTCTGGGTGGATAAGCCCCTGAGATCTCTCCCTAGAAAGAACTCTGAGGACCAAGAAATTGGACAAGTGCTGCATCTGCCACCTCTCCTCAGAGTTCTCCTGCATATTGGTCTATTAAAGCCACGAAGAACTTCTCCAGGAAAGACAAATGACTATTTCGGCTTCTCCAGTATTTTCCAGCATGTTTGATTATGGTTTCTTGCCCACTCCAATTAAATTGATTGACTTCGAATGGAATTTGTTTCTTGGAACACGCTTTGGGAAATGCTGATCCTTGATGTGAAAAGCTGACAATGAGGGGAAGAAAGAATCTGCACAGCAAAAGGGAAGGGAATACTGGGAACCTGAGAACCCAAATTCCGCAGGGTGTTTGGTGCCCACTGTACAGTGTCTGTGATGTCACCTTGAGTTGACATGAGGAACCATAGATTCCACTCTCCCCTCTGCAACTGAGTGCCGGTAGACAATCCACGTCCCCATCTGCATCCCACTTTCCTCAATTGTAAAATCAGAGTTCAAAGAAGTGATCTTGATTGACCTTTCTAGGCCCAATTAGATGATTCTATCTCAGCTATCACAATGGAAGAAGAGAAAATAGGATTTGCTTGACAAGAATTCTCTTTATAACTAACTTTTTCGGAATGCAAAATAAATGGTGTTTGAAATAGAAACCCTATGATACTACCACATGTGGATAGGTGATTCTTAACGCTCATTATCCTGGTCATTTTGATTGAAAACTCAGTCACAGGGTGCAAGTGCAACCTGGAATACTCCTAGTGTTAGTACTGTGCTTGCTCTCATTAAACACTTGAAAAAACCCCCAAAACACCAGCACAGAAACGTTCAGCAGCTAGATCTTTGATTATAGCCAAGGGCCAACTTTAAAATTAGTTCTTTTAATTAATTGCCCTTCAGGTTGTATGATCTGTGGCTACACTATTCTTGGTTATTAATCACAGTTTGCACTTCAAAAAAATCAAGATGTGGTTGAAATAACTGACTTAATGAAGCTAATATAAAATATGGAGAAATACAATAGGGCAAATTATCTTGCAAAAGTGTCTATATTTTGCAAATGTCATTGTTTTCCTTTAACAGACAATTAATTAGAGAGAGAAGGTATAATTGCTAGGGAAGCTCAATCATTGATCTGATGTCACCTATAAGCGGACAGTTTTCCCCATAATTTTCATTACCTGGGCTCTGTAATTAAATACGTTGGAGATTGAAGACTTAAAGTCACCTGCAAGTTGCATCCCAAATTATATGAAACAGGAAACTAAATCAGTCCCCAAATGAACTTAAGATGTATTTCCATATTGAATCAAACTACTTTTTCAGGATCCATTTGTAATAGTCACTTTCAGATTCACATTTGATTAGAAAAGTAGAAGTCGAAGTCTTGATAATGGAAACTGATAGCATTACAGACTCCTACCCACTGAGATCTGTACTATCAGGCACAACTCCTGCCCTCATCATGTTGGATCTGATCCACCTTGAGGTTCTCAACTGGGACTGCATAGTAGACTCACCAGGAGAGGTTTTCATTCATTTGTTTATTGTTATTATTTTTAAATATATTTTTATTGCTTTCAGAGAGGAAGGGAGAGGGAGAGAGAAATGATGAGAATCATTGATTGGCTGCCTCCTGCATGCCCCCTACTAGGAATCGAGCCCACCACCTGGGCATGTGCCCTGACTGGGAATCAAACTGTGACCTCGTGGTTCATATGTTGATGCTCAACCACTGACCCACACGGGCCAGGCCAGGGGAGGTTTTTAAATTTTCCGTTGCTCAGGTTGCACATGAGACAAATCAAATCAGACTCTCTAGGGTGGAACCTAGGCATCAGTATCCTTATAAATTTTCCAGGAGATTCTAATATGCAGCAAAATGTGATAATCAGTGAAGCAGAATAGCCTAGTCAATAAATTTTCAAGTAACTTGATGTATCATTTGGTTCATTTGGTTTAAAATAGTCAGTGTGAAACACACCTGCTTCTCTTTTCATCTCTTCTGTAGAAATCTCAACAGAAATGAACAGTCGAAGGTTCTCGTGGACCTCGAACCAGACTAGGCCACTTGGAATCCCGTCTGGATTTTTGAATAGAAACTGAGAGCTAATGTTTCTGTACGGTGGGAGGTGTGGGCTGTGGAATGGCTGAGTGTTCTGGCAGGTGGACTGAGGAGCTGAGAAAGTTTCAGGGGGGGCGGGAGAGAGACAGAGAGAGAGAAATGGTAAAGAGAAGAGAGAAGAGGTGAGCAAGATGAATCAGAGGTAATGTGTTTAGATCCCCAGGCAGACAGCTGTCATTTCTGCCTGCTTGGCACCCCTCTCCACTTTATCAACAGTGTCTTTTTCTCAGTCAGGGACCACACCACTCCTGTTCCATACAGGCTGGGGATACAGACAAGTGAAGTCCACTAGCCACTTGCTCCCCGAGCAGGGGCTCCAGGCAGAAAAAGGCAGTGCTGTCATTTTGGTGACTATCATCAGGAGAAAATGTTGGTTTCCGCTGCAGGATCCCCGGAGCTGCCCTGATTCCTGCACCTCCTGTGTCTGATCGTTCAACAAATCCTTGAATTCTGGGATCAAGGGTGTATGTTGCTTGCAGTTCAGTTTCCTATAGTTTTCTGGTCCTAGCTTGAATCCATTTGGAGGCTTTGTAGCATTCTGTTTGGGGGTTCATGAGACACACTTGTATCCTTAAGATTTTTTTTTAGCTTAGATGTTTTTTATATTTGTAACTACACATCTTAACTAGTACAGACTTGACTCTCTCATTTATGTGGATGCTTTGAGACTGACTAAAGCAGGAACAAGGCCTTCTAAGCCCCACTCCAGCCTTCAAGGTCATAACCAAGATAAACCAACTATTTTATCATTCTGCATGCTTTCTGAAGTCCCAGTGATTGATTTGCATTTTGTAAGTATAAAGATCTTGGAGAGAAATTCATAACAAAGCTATACTTCGTGAACAATAAGATTAAAAGCTTATCATACACAAACATGGTCCTAAATAATGTATGATCCTCTGCATAGAAGCCCAAATCTACTCCTGAAGAAAGGGGCTCTTATTTCCTCTATCAAACATTAGGTAAAGTTACAGCACTGCCATCAAACACAACTGTGCACAGTACTTCTTCATCCCCAATGGTACTCTTCTCTATTAAAAAATCCTTATTAAATAACAACATGTGCCCGCTAATATAAGAAGTATTTCCTTGAGCTCAACATCAATATGCTTGGCACACACTTCAAGGCCATCCACTCAAATTCAGGAAGCAGACAAGTTCTCCCTGCGATGCAGCAGGGAGAGTTACAGGGACATCACCTTGAAAACCAAAGAAAGCCTCCCCGATTTCTCTGGGCCCAAGTCACGGAAGTGGTGAGGCGTCTGGGGTGCTCAAACGGCTGACTTCTTGTAAAATCTGGATCCATGGAGCTAGGTTTAAATCATATTATTCAAATTTAGAGGTAATTGGTAAAAAAAAAAAAGCAGCAAAGCAAATCACAGTGCTAAGCAGCTTAAGTGATTAACAATGTTGTGATCTCGGCAAACTCTGGATGAACTATAATGAAATGGAAATAGTGGGGCCAGTGCCAATAAAATGTGACCATAAAGTCTGACCAGTGCACATTTCCTTTTCTAAGCGTCTAAGAAAAGGTAAATATTACTTAGGAATATTCTGGTAAAGAAAGTGGGATACATAAAAAGGAGCAGTTTAAAAGTTATTCTTCTGATCATCATACTTTATTTTTAATACAAATAGGTAATAAAATAAAAGGTACCCAGATATCGTTTAAAGAAGAATACATTTTCTATATACCCAGCCATCATTTACAGATTAACACTGCAAAGTATGTGAATTAATAACTCTTAATTTTTACATAAAATTATATGAAAAAAATATGTAAATGAGAACCAAAAATAAGAACCAACTCAAAGCCCTAAAATCTTGCCTGTGTATTAATTCCTTCACAGTTCCAAAAACACACACGCATCTACAAAAAGAATGTAGTTATTCTTAACATCGAACATTATTTACAAAAGAAATTCACTTCTCTCAGTTACTTCTGATTCTGCGGGCCTGCCCGACACACACATTGTGGTGGCCACAGAGTCAGAACTGCTGTCCTGCTCGGCCTGGGGGTGGCCATTCTTTGCCCTGGAAGGAGGGGTTACACCAACTCGTAGTATTTCCCAGTCTGGGGATCAAAGTAACAGTTCAGACATGGGTCATACAGAAGAGTCAGCACTTCCTCGTCCTCTTCCACACTCAGGTCTTCTTCACCTGTGGGAAGGGGAACCACAGACATGTTAGCTGCTGGCCTAGCCCCAAATTCCTCAACTGCAACATCAGAAGAGCAAGGAAACAGGAATCGCCATCTCTCCCTGGGGACTTTCCTTCTGTGGGTAGATGTCGGTGCTGAATGGAGGAGCGCTGCAGACGCGATGAGACTATGCAGTGCAAGACAGGGAAGAGGCAGCGATCACAGGCCAGCTTTGGTGGGAAGGGGAAGGAAAACCGAGTGTGGAGAACTGGCAGGGAGGGGGAAGGAGTGGCCAAAGGACTAAGGGTTATGCTAATCAGGGTTAGGGAAACCAGTAGGTTTCAAAGCCTCCGTCATAGTTTTAGGCTTCTTCAGGGGCCAGAGCTGTGCAAATGCAAAAGTGTGAATTGAATGACACAATAAAAAACTCAATCCCCATTCATACAGCCTAAAAAGACTACCAAATAAGCATGAATTAGGATAAAATGTTTAGAACACGTAATACAATATACAAGACGATGTATTATGGAATTGTTCATCTGAAACATATATACTTTTATTAACCAATGTCACCCCCATAGATTCAATAAAATTAAAAAAATATTTAGAAATATAAATAGGATATATACAGCATAGAAGGCATACGGAAAACACAATGTCAGGTGACCTGTAATTTTATTAGTGTTGGGAAGTATGTGAACTTCGCTGGGAATAATGAACGTTGCTGGAGGCATTTTTTGTTGTTGTTGCTGTTGTGACAGCCATTTGGATGGTTCGCATGAAGAGAACTGCTACTGCCTAAGTTATTAGCAAGGTTTGGCTGATTTCCAACAAATGGCATGGGATGAAGAAACCTGTTTTATTAGATGATTCCCATGCACCTTTTCTGTGCCCGATGTTGTGCTATGTACTTGGGCACCTGACACCATCATCAGCGAGTGCCTCCTAGGTACTTCTGCAAATCCACCTAACAGAAATTCAGAGGCTGGGAGGTAAGACCTATTTCCCTGAGCTGGAGAAAACCAGAGCAGGCTCAGATAGGAAGGGCGATTAAGACAACACTCCTCTGTCTTCCTTGCCATAGGCTACTAAGAACCAAACTTCTGGGTCATGGGCTTACCAGGGGCAGATTTGGAAGGTGGCGGGCATAGGACAGGGCTGGCATGCAATAGGGGCTCAATAAATACTGAATGCTTTTTGAAAGGGTGAATAAATGATTATGAAACAATTACTTAAGTGTCATTGCCCCGAGTAAGGGAAGGTGGTGGTAATGGTGGGACTTCACTTTACCCCCTCCCCCCACCACCCGAAATCAGATCAAGCTGGTGCGTGGACCTTGTTGGGACAGTGACGGGATGGACTTAAGCCCCAGAAAGTGGAGCCAAGATGGTGACGTGCGGGCCTGGAACGGCACCACAGCCATTCCTCTGCCCATCCTCCTGCTAACCATCTCAAACACTCAATGTGATTTTTCCCTGCCCCAGGCACCGAGCTAGGTGTTGGGGACGTGGTGATAGGAGAACCAGGCCGTCAGAAGTGTGAAGTGACTCGGGGCTGGGTGGGGGGAACACAATCAGCAGACCCTCTAGGGCAGTGGTTCTCAACCTTCTGGCCCTTTAAATACAGTTCCTCATGTTGTGACCCAACCATAAAATTATTTTCGTTGCTACTTCATAACTGTAATGTTGCTACTGTTATGAATCGTAATGTAAATATCTGATATGCAGGATGGTCTTAGGCGACCCCTGTGAAAGGGTCGTTCGACCGCCAAAGGGGTCACGACCCACAGGTTGAGAACCGCTGCTCTAGTGCATGTAGTCTGGCAGTCCTTAGAGTGGAGTCTAACAGAGGAATGATTGTGTCTGCCCTGCTCACTAACGTCTGGCAGGGCCCTCACTGGTATAGAGAGCAACTTCTCATGCAGGAGCTTATTTGACCCTCACTGTCCTGTGAAATAGACAGGACTTTTCGTGAACAATTTACAGATGAGGAACCAGGGTCCGCAAAGTTAAATAGCTCATCTGGGGTCACTTGGTTGGTTAGAGGCAGATTCAGGGATGAACCTGGGTTTCCAAACTCTCAGTTAGGTATTCTTTCGACCATACTAGCTTGCTGTTTTATTAAGAAGGTGGTGTAGCTCAACTCAATTGGGAGCTATTATATTACAGGAATTTAAACATGAAAAAGAGTAAACAAATTGTGAAGGTGTCCTGCATTTAAAAAAATCAGGTTTGGAAACAAAAGAAATTTGATTTGTCATATTTCAAAACCACTGACAAAGATGAGTGCGTCCACGTGGGAGAGCAGAGGCGAACAGCTCAGTGAGCCCGAGGGAACGTGACTTACTACATCCAGAAAAGACACAGCTCAATGGAGGTGACAGCGGCCTCTGGCTTCAAGTATATAAAGGTGGCAAATGAGTGAGAAAGGAAGATTCTGTGTGGTTCCAGGAGAAAGCAATAGGGTGGCCAGATGAAGGTTACAAAGGGATAGATTTTGGGTCAGCAGCAGGAAGAATTTTCTAAACATCTGAGCGACCAGGGAATGGAACGTGGACCCTGGGGCAGGTAAAGCAGGGGTTGGGGCAGTGGTCGGCAAACTCATTAGTCAACAGAGCCAAATATCAACAGTACGACGATTGAAATTTCTTTTGAGAGCCAAATTTTTTAAACTTAAACTATATAGGTAGGTACATTGTTATTAACTTAATTAGGGTACTCCTAAGGCTTAGGAAGAGCCACACTCAAGGGGCCAAAGAGCCACATGTGGCTCATGAGCTGGTTTGCCGACCACAGGGCAGGGGCAACCATTTGTGTGCGATTTCGTAGCTGAACCTTGCCTATGACAGGGGACAGGATCCAGTGATCGCTGAAGTGCCTCTGATGAGTTTCTATGACTCTTGGCTGCAGTGGCTTATGTCCGTGCATCACGACAGGCTTTAGCTAACAGCCACATCACAGTGACAGCTGACCTGAGCACCCTGCAGTTTCTTACTGAGAACAGGAGTGCGGAGAAGCAGGCTGCCTGTCCTTTGCTTTCTGTTGTCACCTTAAGAGTGGTGCCCAGGGTACAGCTGCCTCCACCTTCTTCCTCTACATAGCAGAGGTTGGGAATGCTTTTCAAGTGGTTGTTTTATATCGAAAAGGACCCCCGTTAGGTCACTTCTGTACGTCAAAGGAGAGTGGGCACGTTGTTTACTTTCATATATTCAACCCGTCACCTCTTTGATATTTGGGCTACTTCAGAGAACAGAACCAAGCCAGTTTATCAAGAGGAACTACAGTGTGTCTGCGATGTGGCTGAGCAGTCCAGTTGTAGATGTGACACACACACAAAACAAAAGCAGCTACTACAGGTAAACAAGGAGTTAGACTGGGAGGCACAACTGCAGAGAGGTGAGGAGCACCCCGGGGCTGTAGAAGCCACCAAACTTGGGAGGGATGGGAGCCCACTGCTTCCTGCCCGGATCACCTTAGGTTGCTTACAGTCATTTCACCTCACAAGACCTTTGTTTGCTCATTTATGAAACGGGAATAATGGTGCCTCTCTCACAGGGCATGGTGGCAGACAACTGACACTGGGTGCCAGGCATCGCACAGTGCACTCAGTAATGTTCAATAATGATCATTACCTTTACTACTAAGGATAATAGCAATCAAGCAAATCATGAACTATAGGCTATAACTCAAAACAGGGGCACTGGTAAAGCTTCAAGTATGAGAAAAGGGCTCATGGACACAGGCAGTGTGACATTCAGCCAATGGAGTGGGACAGACCTGGTCCAAATCCCATTTCTACCACTTCCCGGCTTCGGGACACTGGGAAAGTCACTACGCTGAGCCTCACAGGTACCGTAAGGGTAGTGACAGCGCCTGCGATCGTGCATGTGAGAACTCAATAAAGTCACACTCACCACACTCAGTAAGCACTCAGTAAATACTGTTACAGTCCCTATGGGAAACTTACGATACTGGAGTTAGACACGAGTGGAATATGTTCATCTACACCTTATCCCCCACCCCAAACTTTATCTTTTTGATTTTTCAAAAGAAAAAAATAGTTGATTTGAATGAAAAATGAAGACCCCCAACTAGAAAATAAAAACAGTTCCTACACCAACAATCACATATTTTTCAAAAAGTAAAATTAATTTTTCCGTCAGGTGTAATGCTAAAACCACATATAGCGGATTATGAGTCACACTAGCTCGGAGATCTACATCGGATGTCTTGTTTTGTGTCATTAACACATCGGGGAGATTCTGATGTCGGGCACATAGGAGTTACAGGCTATTTCGTTACTTAGTGCATCTGTGCCTGTACTTTCCCAAAAGATAAAGTTTTAAGCTGATGCTATTTACTTAGAAAACAATACTTTTTATAACCAGTCAGGAATTTTTCAAGATGTCAGCAAGGGTTGTAATGAGCCCTGGGTCTTATCTCCCGCTTGCCAAGGGATGGAGTGGGTCCAACCCTCAGGAGGCCCCCCCCCCACCCCCGCTACGAAACGCAGACAGATGGACGGACAGACAGACAGACAGGAGCAGTAACTGCTGCAGAAATGCGCTCGTCCCGTACAGATCTCTACAGAACTGGGACCTCCTGTGTGATAACCATGCGATTAAGGCAGGTTTTGTGGGGTTTAGTACTAAAGCCTTAAATGGATGAATTTTAAACTCTACCAACACTGGCATTCATTCAAAAATTGGGTGACCTTATGTATAATTTTACATTGAAATAAGTGCTTTAAACGTACATAAAGGGTTTTGTTTTCATTACAACTTAATTTTCAAAGCCTCCAACTTACATCATTTTGCCATTGTAATCCCTATGTAATGAAATTATAATATCATTAAGCAATTGCCACTATGATATCAAGCAATGGGAAACATTTTGAAAGGTAATTATTGTGCTTGGGGATGGGGTAATTTTCAATTCTATTCTTGGATAGTACAGAGTTTGTTTTTCCCCCAAATGTGAAATTGCTCTATTTAAAGACTGGCTGCAGAAGCTCTAAAAGG